TCCACCTGGAGTAAATCCACCAGCTACCCTGCAGTATACAAAGTCATTCAGACTAGCTGCACCTTTACCAGCTTTGAGAACACTTTCATGATCAATCATTATAAAACATTCTGAAATGGACCAATCTGCACAACGACTACTTTTACTGTCGCTACTTTCACTATATTTTGATGATAATACTTTTCTACTTTCACTTGAGGAACATTTTGAATGCAGGAATTGTACTGTAACAGAGTATTCCTACACTCTGGTACTTCTACTGTTACTCAAGTACAAGATCTGAGTACTTCTACTTTTACTCAAGAACAAGATCTGAGTACTTCTACTTTTACTCAAGAACAAGATCTGAGTACTTCTACTTTTACTCAAGAACAAGATCTGAGTACTTCTACTTTTACTCAAGTACAAGATCTGAGTACTTCTACTTTTACTCAAGTACCAGATCTGAGTACTTTTACTTTTACTCAAGTACCAGATCTGAGTACTTCTACTTTTACTCAAGTACAATATCTGAGTACTTCTACTTTTACTCAAGTACAAGATCTGAGTACTTCTACTTTTACTCAAGTACCAGATCTGAGTACTTCTACTTTTACTCAAGTACAAGATCTGAGTACTTCCACTTTTACTCAAGTACAAGATCTGAGTACTTCTACTTTTACTCAAGTACAAGATCTGAGTACTTCTACTTTTACTCAAGTACCAGATCTGAGTACTTCTACTTTTACTCAAGCACAAGATCTGAGTACTTCTACTTTTACTCAAGTACAAGATCTGAGTACTTCTACTTTTACTCAAGTACCAGATCTGAGTACTTCTACTTTTACTCAAGCACAAGATCTGAGTACTTCTACTTTTACTCAAGTACAAGATCTGAGTACTTCTACTTTTACTCAAGTACAAGATCTGAGTACTTCCACTTTTACTCAAGTACCAGATCTGAGTACTTCTACTTTTACTCAAGTACAAGATCTGAGTACTTCTACTTTTACTCAAGAACAAGATCTGAGTACTTCTACTTTTACTCAAGAACAAGATCTGAGTACTTCTACTTTTACTCAAGTACAAGATCTGAGTACTTCTACTTTTACTCAAGTACCAGATCTGAGTACTTTTACTTAAGTACCAGATCTGAGTACTTCTACTTTTACTCAAGTACAATATCTGAGTACTTCTACTTTTACTCAAGTACAAGATCTGAGTACTTCTACTTTTACTCAAGTACCAGATCTGAGTACTTCTACTTTTACTCAAGTACAAGATCTGAGTACTTCCACTTTTACTCAAGTACAAGATCTGAGTACTTCTACTTTTACTCAAGTACAAGATCTGAGTACTTCTACTTTTACTCAAGTACCAGATCTGAGTGCTTCTACTTTTACTCAAGCACAAGATCTGAGTACTTCTACTTTTACTCAAGTACAAGATCTGAGTACTTCTACTTTTACTCAAGTACCAGATCTGAGTACTTCTACTTTTACTCAAGCACCAGATCTGAGTACTTCTACTTTTACTCAAGCACAAGATCTGAGTACTTCTACTTTTACTCAAGCACAAGATCTGAGTACTCTCCACTTTTACTCAAGTACCAGAATCTGAGTACTTCCACTTTTACTCAAGTACAAGATCTGAGTACTTCTACTTTTACTCAAGTACAAGATCTGAGTACTTCTACTTTTACTCAAGAACAAGATCTGAGTACTTCTACTTTTACTCAAGTACAAGATATGAGTACTTCTACTTTTACTCAAGTACAAGATATGAGTACTTCTACTTTTACTCAAGTACAAGATCTGAGTACTTCTACTTTTACTCAAGATCTGAGGTACTTCTACTTTTACTCAAGTACAAGGTCTGAGTACTTCTACTTTTACTCAAGTACAAGATCTGAGTACTTCTACTTTTACTCAAGTACAATATCTGAGTACTTCTACTTTTACTAAGTACAAGATCTGAGTACTTATACTTTTACTGAAGTACAAGATCTGAGTACTTATACTTTTACTCAAGATCTGAGTACTTCTACTTTTACTCAAGTACACAATCTGAGTACTTCTACTTTTACTCAAGTACAAGATATGAGTACTTCTACTTTTACTCAAGTACAAGATATGAGTACTTCTACTTTTACTCAAGTACAAGATATGAGTACTTCTACTTTTACTCAAGTACAAGATATGAGTACTTCTACTTTTACTCAAGTACAAGATCTGAGTACTTCCACTTTTACTCAAGTACCAGATCTGAGTACTTCTACTTTTACTCAAGTACAAGATCTGAGTACTTCTACTTTTACTCAAGTACAAGATCTGAGTACTTCTACTTTTACTCAAGAACAAGATCTGAGTACTTCCACTTTTACTCAAGTACCAGATCTGAGTACTTCTACTTTTACTCAAGTACAAGATCTGAGTACTTCTACTTTTACTCAAGTACAAGATCTGAGTACTTCCACTTTTACTCAAGTACCAGATCTGAGTACTTCTACTTTTACTCAAGTACAAGATCTGAGTACTTCTACTTTTACTCAAGTACAAGATCTGAGTACTTCTACTTTTACTCAAGTACAAGATCTGAGTACTTCCACTTTTACTCAAGTACCAGATCTGAGTACTTCTACTTTTACTCAAGTACAAGATCTGAGTACTTCTACTTTTACTCAAGTACAAGATCTGAGTACTTCCACTTTTACTCAAGTACCAGATCTGAGTACTTCTACTTTTACTCAAGTATAAGATCTGAGTACTTCCACTTTTACTCAAGTACCAGATCTGAGTACTTCTACTTTTACTCAAGTATAAGATCTGAGTACTTCTCCCACCTCAGGTTTTTCTGCACAACTATATTCGCAAGATGTTCATGTTTTCTTGTGTTTTAACTCCCAACCACCTGAATGTACCCTCTTCTCTCAGGTGGTTATCGTAGTACAGACAAGCCAAATCCACGAGGAGAGATCCTGGTCGGTGGACCCAACGTCACCATGGGGTACTACAAGAACGGGTCGAAAAATGAGGATTTCTTCGTAGACGAGAGCGGTCAGAGGTGGTTCTGCACGGGAGACATCGGAGAGTTTCACAAAGACGGGTGCCTCAAGATCATTGGTGAGGAAATTAGGTTGGCTTTGGGTGGAAGTGTAAAGTACAAAAGGACTGGTTTATACCTCGAAATGATCACCATCAACATTGTGCCTAGGGATGTCCCGATCACCTTTTTTTGCTCCCGATCCGATTCCGATCATTTGATTTTGACAATCTGCCGATACCGATTTTTCCCGATCCGATCTTTATGCAATGCATTAAGAGAACAAAAAGGGAACAGATAACGGCTGGTCATCCAACGCGATGAGTTCAGCTATCTTGGCTGTTATTCGTTTGGCCTTTTCACTGTTCTGGGGCAGTTTCTCTTTCCTTTTAAAAGCCTCTGAAAGTGTCGGTTGTGTCAGTGCCGTTACCCGAGGGGCCGCTGTGTACTCGTCGTGTTGTTGTTTGTGTTTGTTTCTCACGTGGCGTATTAGATTGGTCGTGTTGAACGTAGCTCTGTTCTTTCCACCTGGCTGTTACACTGCTTTCAATTTCATAATACTTCCAAACTCCTGACATTTGCTCCGTCCCGACTCCCGAGTCACCAGCTGAACGTAGCCTCTCGTTAGCTTGCTGCTACTATTAGACACTGCGCCCACTCTGTCGCCAGCTTTGAGAGACATAAGCAACCAGGTCTGAAAACAAGCCCAAAAGAAGCAACACACACATGATGTTGTGTGATTTTAAACCAGAACTAATTCCTCAGGATGACTTTAAGACGTGAACATGGTCATTTTTGTTTTGTAACATTAAATAAAATAATACAAATATTTTATATAAAAAAATTTTTTTTTTTAAATCCCGATCCCCGATTTTTTCCTCCCGATTCCGATCTTTTGAAAATCACGTGATCGGATCGGGACATCTCTAATTGTGCCCCAGGTGTCTGAAATGTTCCCATGCAACATTTCTCCTCCACTTCCATCCATCAGTCTGGCAGGAAGCCTTTACCTTACTTCCCAGAATTACTCCACACTTCTGTTCGCTTTCGTCATCCAGAACCCCCCACATGTTCTCTCTTATCTTGATGACACATTGGTCAGGAGTCCAGTGGAAAAAGGAACCTTCCACCAGCTCATTCCTTTATCTTTTCAAATGTTTCCACACACTGTCTTTGTCTCCAGATCGTAAGAAAGACCTGGTGAAGCTGCAGGCAGGAGAGTACGTCTCTCTGGGAAAAGTGGAGGCCATGTTGAAGAACTGTCCTCTGGTCGACAACATCTGTGCCTACGCCAACAGGTAGTGTGTGTGTGTGTGTGTGTGTGTGTGTGTGTGTGTATGTGTGTGTGTGTGTGTGTGTGTGTGTGTGTGTGTGTTCTCCGTGTGTGTGTGTGTGTTCTCCGTGTGTGGTCAAAAACTGTATGGGCCTTCCGGCGGAACCTCTCACCAACACACAGGTTCCTACCTTTATACCCACAGGTAATTGGCTCCTACACAGATGTATAAAAGCAACGACAAACTCAAAGACACTTTCTTCCCAAGAGAAAGCATGCCACTCAACTCTTGCAATAACCCATAGATGTGCAATATATATAATTTACTATAATACACATACATAGGTACTCTACTAATATTTTCCTGCACTTCATTTAGCTGTTATTTTATGTATGTACGAATGCTGCGTGTCTCTGTTGTCTGTTGTCTGTTCTGAATGTCTTGATGGCATCTTAAAAGGAGTAGCTTTACTCTTCTCGTTGTACTTGTATAACGACAATAAATGCTTCTCATCTAATCCAACATAATTAGAGTCAGTAAGATGCTGCATTTGAGGAATATCTTCTGAGTCACAGGGCCTCCACGTACACAGAGTGACTTCCTGTAAACAGTGTGTGCCCTTGTTAAACATCAAAGTCGCCCTGTGGAGCTTTGATCACATTTGTTCTCATGCACAACGACATTGAGAGCACTCGCACGCGAGTTACAAAAACGTTCCTTCCAACAGTGTCCCAACGTTGCTCTGATCTACGGATGGAAGTAATGCACCAAGAGGCAGGAAAAAAGACAACTTCTAGATATTTTATAAGGAAAGAAATGATACACACGTTTTGTTGAGTAACCCAGTGCAAGAAAACTCCGCAGGGTGCCTTTAACTTATCAGTGTCATCTTTGAGAATGTGACTCAGCAACAGACTCTGCTCAGGCACGCATCGTTGCCATTTCCTTGTATGGGTTTAAACTCTCACCTGGTGAAGAATGGATGGTTTGTGCGTGCACATGTATGTTCTGCATCGCCTCATTGGGCCCAACATGCACGTCGCTAGAACACACGAACCAGCGTCGCTCAATACACTCTGTTTTCTCTTTGACATTTCATTTGCTCCAAAGTGCAAAAAACATTAAGATTCAAACTCCGGACAAGAAGGAAAGTGCAGATATTCACTTCAAGCGAGTCATACCGTTGTACTGGGAGTGCTGGTGAATTAGTTTCAAGGCCTACGTTAACTTCTGAAAGTGCTTTAAATTCTGCTTTTCACAGAATTTAAAAGCCAAGGTACAAACGAACCTGATGCCTTTTCAGTTTGCGAGGGAAAACATGCCGTTTTTCTGCGGTCCTGATGTTAATAGGCGCTTTCACACCGCAGTACTTTCCCCACAAAGGTTCATGAGAACTTAGTTCATGAGAACTCTTTAGTTCTCATGAACTAAGTACAGATCGCGTTCACACCGGAATAAATCCCTGGGGGAGGATTAGGCAAATGAAGCCGCTGACGTCACTTCTTCTTCTTCTGCTTTGGGTTTACTGGCAGGCCGCAAACCACTTCACGCGTATACTGCCACCCAAAGTCCCCGGCCGGAAGTCCCCGGAGTTGGGTAAATCGAGTAAATCGCCAGAACGCCGACACCTCCTCATCTCCACCGCTCCCATGTTTTATTTTGTGTTGCCATAAATTAGTCTCTCTGCGTTTGTGCGCTGGGCTAATGCTAATGCTAATGCGAGGATAATAAAATGGCGGCTTCACAAAAACTTTTTGGGAGTTTTACGGGGCGTGGTTTGCAATCCGCCCAGCCAATCAGACATAGGATACCTTTTTCTCCCACGGAAAGTCCCTGTTCTCTAGCAGGGACGGAAAAGGGGGTAAAAAGGTCTCATTAACTAATTTTAGTTCCGGATCTTTTTGGTGTGACGCAACATTTCGGAAGCTATATCGGAACTAAAGTGGGAAAAGTACTGCGGTGTGAACGCGCCTAATGGGGAGCTGTTCCAACATTTAAGAGACAGGAAAGCAAACAGGTGTGTTTTTGTCGAGGTGCACCTGGGTTTACCTCGCATGACTTGGAGTAGCAAGCTGATTGGCTGATGCTTGAATGAATGGTTTAACCAATGCCCTGACATCTGTCCTCTCCCACCTTTTGCAGCGACGAGACGTACGTGATTGGCTTCGTGGTGCCCAATCAGAAGCAGCTGCTGGCGCTGGTGGACCAGTACGGGATCAGAGGGTCCTGTGAGGATCTGTACAGCAGTGAGGCCGTGGAGGAGCTGGTGTTAAAGACCCTCACTGAGGCGGCTCTGGAGGGTGAGAGGAGCTTCTACCCTTTACAGGATACGGTTCGACCATCACTGTTTCAAATACACTCATGTTAGATTTCATTAATGCATGAATTGCCCACTGCAGCGAAAGGCTTGATACTAAAAACATGATTGTGTGCGGTAGGAAGGATTGTTGTATGGTTAGTATCAGACACACCTCTGCAAACAGCTTTCCAAATCTGATGCAATTATAATGCATCTATATTATTTACACAAAGTTGTCCAACTCTTCAAATAAGTTATATGCAAGCATGTAAAGAGACTAGCTGTAATGATGGCTATAAAATACAACAGGTTAGGTTAGCTGCTAGTCACTCGATTGACAGCAAATAAACAATTGGTTGGCAACAAGTCCTTAAAGTGATTTGCATACAAAAATGTCTCATTCAGCCTCTTGAATGTGTGAATGTTCTGCCTTTCTCTGGTTGATATCTGTTTGGTTTGAGACTGACAAAGAACTGGGACTTTAAGGAACTGCACATTTTTTGACATTTTACTTATCAAACAAAATAAGCAGCAGATCATTCGTTAATGAAATTGTAATTGTAGTTACAGTCCGAATAATGACTGCTCTGGCTAAGTGGATAATGCTCATTCTTTAGCTGTGACGCTCTATGTTGGGTTCCCTAGGGTTAGGGCTATCTAGATGAGGAATATTGACTCAAAGGACTCGTCAAAAGGAGAAGTCAGTCTTTGCCAGAGAGGAAAAAACTGAAGTACCTAGAAAAGAAAAAACACGTGGGAAAGCCAAAACCTCCGCCCAGTTGCTCCCGCAAATGGGGGTCCAATTCTGTGGGAAGCACTAATGTCAGGGTTTATTTACAAATGAATGTTTCGTCTTTTTCTGTCGCAGCCCAGCTCGAGCGCTTTGAGATCCCCCGAAAGATCTGCCTGAGCCCGGAGCCCTGGACTCCTGAGATGGGATTAGTGACTGACGCATTCAAGCTCAAACGCAAGGAGCTGAAAACACACTACCAGGACGACATCGAGAGGATGTACGGGGGCAAATAGAGACGAGGAGCGGCATTGTTCTCCGTCACAACACAGACCAACACTCGATCCAAATGAACACACTGTAAGAGCCCTGAACCGGTGTTAAAGGTCCCCTATTATTCTGTTTTTCATCAATATATCACAGGTCTCAGATATATCCAGAGCCTGTCTTTGATTGGCTGAAACACCAAACAGATCATTGCAGCATTACCCATAATCCCCTCTGTTTCAGTGCTGATTCTCTGTCTGTTACTTTAAATCGGGGGTCTCAAACTCAAGGCCCGAGGGCCAAATCCGGCCCGCGACTTCATTTCATGTGGCCCCGCAAGAGCTTGCAAAGAATATAATACGTTTATTATACGGTTACATGCCACTTTACAGAAGCAGGTTGTCCATAAACTACATGTCCCACAATGCATCTCGTTTTGTGACATGTGCACTGAAAGAGACTTGCAATGATTTGCTCTGGACTTCTGCTTTCAGACGTAGTTAATTAATAAGTTATTATCCTATCTGATAATAATCCAATTCAGAGGCAATAATGTGATATAATACATTATATATATTATATATTTATACAGTTACATCCGGCCCTTTGAGTGCAACCCTTATGCGAATGGGGCCCGCAATGAAATTGAGTTTGACACCCCTGCTTTAGATTTGGCCATTCCCCACGCCCCTCTGAGAGAGATTTGGTTACAAAGAACTCAATGGTGCTCTAGGAGGAGATTCAGGTGATAAGGTGGGGGTGGGGTGTGACCTTGGTTGCTGATTGGCTAATGGCTCCACAAGACAAAACATCGTTATGACATCATAAAGAGGCCAAAATCTGATCAGCTCATTTTCAGACAGGTTTTTTATAGAAATGGATCAAAAGAGGAGAGAAATCTTTGTTCCTGAAACTTTCAGAGTCTCTTTCCACAGAGGGGGACACATGTTGATGTAGAAGAGACATGAAGAAGAGAGGACACATGTTGATGTAGAAGAGACATGAAGAAGAGGGGACACATGTTGATGTAGAAGAGACATGAAGAAGATGGGGACACATGTTGATGTAGAAGAGACATGAAGAAGAGGGACACATGGTGATGTAGAAGAGACATGAAGAAGAGGGGACACATGTTGATGTAGAAGAGCCATGAAGAGAGGGGACACATGTTGATGTAGAAGAGACATGAAGAAGAGGGGACACATGTTTGATGTAGAAGAGACATGAAGAAGAGGGGACACATGTTGCATGTAGAAGAGACATGAAGAAGAGGGGACACATGTTGATGTAGAAGAGACATGAAGAAGAGGGGACACATGTTGATGTAGAAGAGACATGAAGAAGAGGGGACACATGTTGATGTAGAAGAGACATGAAGAAGAGGGGACACATGTTGATGTAGAAGAGACATGAAGAAGAGGAGCACATGTTGATGAAGAAGAGACATGAAGAAGAGGGGACACGTGTTTGATGTAGAAGAGACATGGAGAAGATGGGGACACATGTTGATGAAGAAGAGACATGAAGAAGACGGGGACACATGTTGATGTAGAAGAGACATGAAGAAGAGGGGACCACGTGGTTGATGTAGAAGAGACATGGAGAAGAGGGGACACATGTTGATGAAGAAGAGACATGAAGAAGAGGGGACACATGTTTGATGTAGAGGAGACATGTTGAAGAGGATTTTGCATAACAGGTGACCTTTAAATCTTAGCAGAAAGGAGGTCAGCAATCAAATGTCTGAGGTGGAATTTGTAACTAAGAAAGGCGGAGAAAGAAAACTGATGCATTTTCCCTTTTTTCTCGCCCGTATGACCCTCTTTGTGGCGATCTGTATTGTCCAGATGTGAGTTATGACAACAGATGTTTGTTGTGAACTCTTTTCTTGAAGACAAAAGACCACTATTTCTATCTCTGAATCTTTCCTAAACTTCATATTGATCCCCTTCTTTTTAACTTTTCCTGCAGGTCAGGAGACGGTTCAGTCTTTTGTTTTCACATATTTTGAGTTCTGTCAGGGGTTTATTTTGCCTCCCACCCACCGTCAGCCGGGCTTCGTCTCCCACGGTCTGTTTCCAAAGCACAAAGCCATTGAGGGCAAAGGAGAGCAGGTATGTGGTCCAACAATGTGTGTCTTTCCATCATCAACATTAAGGCCATTGTCCTTCTATAGGAACATGACAGAAACGGTCTATTTAATAAAAAAATAAACTGTTGTTTAGTCTATTGTATTTTCCTACGGCGATAGAGTATATTTTTTAAGCGTGTACAGACCACTTTGTGCACAAAAATGCACATTGACTTGCTTGTATTACAGACGAAATGATTTGATAAATCATGCAATAGGAAGATGTGTCATTTCTGTCCAAATAAGGCGGTTGATTACAGACGGGACATAAATAAAGCTTTCTCAATGTCTGTAGAATTCGCACACGGAGCGACTTCTGTGTGTGGGGTATGATTTTATTCCGTCTTTACTTAGCTGAGTCCTTTGCACGAGTGAGACTAAGTGTGTGATTCCTTAAATGAAAAAGGCCCCAGCATCCCTCACAATGTGACACCTGTTGCCTTCTCGCGATCCTCGCCTTTCTAACTCATGAATGATTTTTGTAATGTGATGTTTCTCCATCCGTGTACATATCTGTTTGTGGAGCTGTGGTCAGACCTGTTTCGGAGCTCCACTCTGAATGAACTTGTAACAGAAGTGCATCGACTTTTTATCCGTTATTTGTTGTAAAAATACCCAAATAAAGAAATAAACATTGTGTTTGGTCTATACACAGGGGGTTGTGTTGTTATTTAAGAAAGAAATCACCAGGTAAATATAATAAAATGTAAAGTATTAATCGGGTTTAGAATTACTTTATTTATCCTCAAGGGGAAACTGGATTTCATACCAGTTGCACCATTTAAAGGTCCCATGTCATGCTTTTCTGGTTACTACCCGTCCCCTTGTGTTATGACGGTTGTTCTGCATGTAAACGGTCTGCAGAGTCACAAACCCTCAAAGTACACCCTGTAGCGAGTACAACTCTAACACAGAGAAGACCTGTCTCTGCTGCCCCAGAACGCCTCGTTGGACATTTCTCTTTTTCCATTTTTTTCTTCCGGGCATACTGACGTAACGGTCACAGTGACGTAACGGCTCCGTGGATTGGTCCAAATGGATTTCTCAGCCTGAACTCAGCCTGAGCTCCGCGGTGTCTCGCAGACCCCACGCAGCAACCAGGAAACGACCCCAGTAATCCAGCTCACACTGTCCGCTCCTCCAGCAGCGAGCCCTGCAACGTCCCGCCAACACGGCTCCCAGACCCCACGCAGCATTCTCATCCGTTTGTCATTACTGGTGGCATTTCCTGGTTGCTAACAAACGCCATTGAAACACATAATCACTGATGTTCCACTGTAACGGCGGTGGACCAATCAGAGCACAGTGGGCTCACAGGGGTGGGGGGCAGGAGCTCCAACAAGCCGTATAGGACAGAGAGTGAATACCCATGCTATACAGAGATGCTGTTTGAGAAACCAAGTGTTTGGAAAATTGAACAATGTGAATCTATTCTAAACCTCAACAATGGAATTATGATCAGTAGAAATGGCCATGGGACCTTTGAGAATAAAAGAAAAAAATAATGTTAAAATAAAAATAATAATAAATACAATGACATTAAAATGAATTATAATTATATTAAAAAAAATAAGATAAATAAATAATTGTAATATTATTAATAAAAAATAAAATGTGCATATTTTACTAGAATAACATTTTTAATCAAATTAAATTAAAATTGCGTTAAAAAAAATTAAGATATATAAATAATTTAAATATTATTTTAATAATAATTTAAATATTATTTTAATAATAATTTGTAAATGTTTTTTATTATTCAACGAATAACAGAAATACAAGTTCGATATTAATGCTGGAAACCTTTTGTATTCCTTTTGGGTGTGATATCCATGGGACTAAAGTACAGACGGATTACAACATGTATGTGTGTCTGCTGCAACCCTCACTGATTCAATAAAATAAATCATTTAAACTTAATTCAATTCATCCATTAATGCTCACCATGTATTACGGTATGCAGACATCCCCGTGCTGTCAGACTGATCATTGGCTGAGTGTATCTGGTGATAAAGGGAGGAGTTCAGTCAGATTATTGAGTTAAACGTTTTTGAAAAGCAGACACCCTATAATGACCTAATAAAAGTGACTGTAAACAGTTTAATCATAATGTGAACAGAACAGCTATTCCGCCTGCGGGGGCTACAGGGCTTAACGGGCCTTTTTTCACGAAACTGTCTTCTTAAAATGTAATAAACTATGAATGTGTCATACTCACTTAACGGGAAGAAACTAAGCTAACTGACTGAACAATTTTTACCGAAACAAAACACAAGTCTCACAAGAAGCGTCTAAATGAGCCCTGAGCGAAAAAATGCTAACGCACCTATATGGGCATAGATATGTCTCATAATTATTTGTGTGAACATAAAAATAATTTGTGTGTAAATATGTGATTTGTAAATGTAAAACAACATCCACAAATGCATTTAAAAGATTTGCAAACTCACAAATACATTTGCAAGTGTAAAACGGATCTGCAAATACGCTAAATATGTTCACAAATAAAAAAAGATCTGTGAATATCTCTTTAACATTTACACCTTTCGATCAGGCATTTGTGAATCCATTTTGTATTTGTGGACCAAAAATGCGCTCGCGGATCTCAAATCTCTGTTCACGGATCTCAAATCTCTGTTCACGGATCTCAAATCTCTGTTCACGGATCTCAAATCTCTGTTCACGGATCTCAAATCTCTGTTCACGGATCTCAAATCTCTGTTCACGGATCTCAAATCTCTGTTCACGGATCGTCTTTTTACACACACGGAATTTTGAGACATATTTTCCGCCGGTCTCGGCTAAAATCTACTCGTGTCACTCGGTTATTTTCGGAAACCACGTGATGGCCTGCTGATGGCGACATTTCCGCATGATTTCAAAGTAAGAGCATGATGGTTTGTTTAATGCTCTGTTTTTGTATTATAATGAACAGCAGAACGTTAGATGCATTCTTCATCACCATCATCATCATGTTATAGTGATACAGTTAGTTTGTGTTATTGGTTCAATATAGCATATATCGAGCACTTTCGTTGATGTTGAAGTGCAGGCTATAGCCTACGCCACTTTCGGGTCCCGGGGGAGCAGCTGGCAGCGAAGCAGCCCAGATAAAACTCTTTCTTCATTGTTTGTTGTGTATTCAGTCAAGCGGGTCGAAGTTACAAAGCACTTCACATCTTATTAATCGGCCTAATTGTACCTTACCAGTGCAGTAATAAAGTAATCTGTAGAAAAGCACCGTATTTAGGTCAGGGTTATGGTGATGAAGAATACATCCAACGTTCCGCTGTTCATTATAATACAAAAACAGAGCATTAAACAAACCATCATGCTCTTACTTTGAAATCATGCGGAAATGTCGCCATCAGCAGGCCATCACGTGGTTTCCGAAAATAACCGAGTGACACGAGTAGATTTTAGCCGAGACCGGCGGAAAATATGTCTCAAAATTCCGTGTGTGTAAAAAGACGATCCGTGAACAGAGATTTGAGATCCGTGGAACAGAGATTTGAGATCCGTGAACAGAGATTTGAGATCCGTGAACAGAGATTTGAGATCCGTGAACAGAGATTTGAGATCCGTGAACAGAGATTTGAGATCCGCAAGCGCATTTTTGGTCCACAAATACAAAATGGATTCACAAATGCCTGATCGAAAGGTGTAAATGTTAAAGAGATATTCACAGATCTTTTTTTATTTGTGAACATATTTAGCGTATTTGCAGATCCGTTTTACACTTGCAAATGTATTTGTGAGTTTGCAAATCTTTTAAATGCATTTGTGGATGTTGTTTTACATTTACAAATCACATATTTACACACAAATTATTTTTATGTTCACACAAATAATTATGAGACATATCTATGCCCATACACTTAGCACAGAACTCTAGGTATAAATCGACAGATCATATGAATATAAATATCATCACTGAGCGATCAGAACTCGCAACAGGGGAAGCAAATACAGACAACACACGACGTAGCTTTAGCAAAACACGAGATATGCTCACCTTTTGCTGTTATTCTGATCAAAAGTCGTGTTCAATGGCATTAAAACGAGAAACGCGGCTGAAGGTCAATCCATAAACTAATCCAATGTGTCTGTCACCTTGAACAAATTATTGATAATCCATCATTCAATTTTTATGTCAAAAACTGAGTTTTCATATTAGCTGCTAATGATAGCTTCCAGAGAGTATGACAGCTTCCTGTTTTGGCTACGCGTCTCTCTCACTCCTTGTGTGTGTGTGTGTGTGTGTGTGTGTGTGTGTGTGTGTGTGTGTGCGTGTGTGTGTGTGTGTGTGTGGTGTGTGTGTGTGTGTGTGTGTGTGTGTGTGTGTGTGTGTGTAACTTCCCCTCGATCCCATTGGCTCTGACGGTTAAAAAGATCGAGCAAGGGGGGCCAGAGATATGGAAAATCCACCCAAATGACCCCAGAAGTGTTTTTATTTTTGCTAAATCTCTCTAAAAAGGTCAAATGTCACTTGTTTTGCATCAATCTTGATACAGAGTACTTATTATATGTTATAGTTTGGATTCCTAAAGCTTTTAGTCTACTATCCCATCATTCAAGGGTGGTTTTCACTATAAGTAATGTTTTATTTTTGGACGGACACAATCATTTAACATTTTGTACTATATTCAATCTGAATTTACTTTAAAATAAAAACATCTATATTGATTCTGACTTTTCTACATCCAACTCACAGGTTTATCATTACTTTGAGGAAAAAGATTATTAATTTACTCCTTTTAGAAGTGATGGTCATTTGTTCTGGGAAAGTCATTTTTTTCGAGCCTGAGACCTGAAGAACAGGCTCGGGGCAAGCAGACATATTCCCACTTCCTGTTAGTTTGAGCTTTGGTTTCTGATCGAGCATTCACTTTTAAATAGTGACCTGAAGTCCCAAGAGTCTGCAGTGGTGCAGGGATGAAAATAAAAGGCCATTTTAGCGCTTCCTGTTTGGACGTCAGTGTGTTTTTAGGTTTGGTTAAAAGCCAGAAATAAGGTCTGTGGTTAGCATTAGCTTACAATGTGTTAATGTTTTGTTTCTACAACATACCATATGTCAGTAAATACCCCACTGGCGGATGTGGAAAGCTTGATAGCCCAACTTCAGCTTTTACTCCTGCTGATTGCCTTTAGGCATCATAGTAGGCTGCACTGTAAACCCGAACGTTCAAAATAATTAAATAGATTAATTAGTGTAAACTTAAATTTAAAAAAAAGTTCTACTAACTTCAATATATTCAGTTCCTGTGACTGTTCTTCGTTTTTGAGTTAAGTAAACTGATAATCTTTGATTAACTTGAACTATTTGGCGGATTAAGTAAGCATCACTTAAACATATACATTGAACTGTACTCATTTCTAATGCTTATTGTGTGTCTGACGTCACTAACCGTCACTAACTGTCGAAAGTGGGATGCAGCACATGCAGCTAATACCTGCAGTAAGGTGGATCTTCACACTTAATTTCCACACTTTCCGGTGGTAATCAGCATCATTGGTCTCACTGTAAGTGCAATATTCATATTTCTTCACTTTTTTAAATATTTTGAGATTAAACATGTGAAAGAGAGTGTTGATGTTAGCCAGATACATGCATGTTAGCTAGCATTAGCCATAGGTTGAGTCAGCAGATTC